AGGACCCCAAAGGTATGATAATCTCCTGAATTCCATCGTCACAGGAGGGTGGACACAACACATAAATTCACCCACTAGATCCGCAAATATCCTAGACCTTATTTTCACGAACAACATAAAACCATCTACAGTACATGTGGGACATGAATTTCCAGGTAGTGACCATAAAATAGTAGTGTGTTCTTTTGACATCTTTCCTGAAACAAAACGCAGAGATGAAGCTGGCCAGACACCTATGAGATTGTACACACATGCTGACTGGGAATTGTATCAGCGCCTAATTAGATATTCTAATTGGGACTCGTACTTTTCGAACGAGTCCTTAAAGGCAATTCTTAACAACTTCTACCAGAATATCAACTCAATTCATGACGTCATTGCACCTGAGAAGATTCTTAGCTTCAGATTCCCCCAAAGCGATTATATTCCGACATCGTTTAGGAGAAGTCTAAGAAAGCACTCAAGAAAATACTACAGATATCATGATTTGTCATCACTAATTGCTATTAAGTCCCTTCTCAATAGAATTGAAGAGTTGAGAAATATAGGCCTCAGAAACAAAGAAATGCGAGCCATTCAGGCACCGCATAACTCAGGAGAAATAGCCAAACTTTTCAAAAGCAGGTTGACGAACTCCAAAACAGCTTATCCTAAAATATTATACTTAGACGGGATTGCTTACAAAAATCCTGAGGTGATACGTGAACTGTTTAGCAAGCACTTCGCCAGATTATACACCTTAGAGAACGATGAGGTCGTGGATTTTCCACGTAAAACAGACGAATGTTTAAGTGACATACTTTTCACCACACACGCGATCGATAAAGCTGTCGCAAATCTTAAGCTTAGTAACACTATTGGTCCAGATGGTATATCTTCCATTCTGCTGAAAAACGGTGGTAGTGACATGAATTTACTCCTGCTCAAGCTATACTCAATTTCACTAAGCGATGGGACATACCCCACCTGCTGGAAGAAGCCTTATATTGTACCTATCCATAAATGCGGGCCTATAGCTGATATCAACAACTACCGCCCCATCAACATCACGTCTGTAGTTTCACGTGTAATGGAAAAGATAGCAAAGACTGAAATCATTCAGTACTTGCTGTCAAATGACCTACTATCCCCATCCCAATACGGTTTCTTAAGTAGAAGGTCGTGTATTACTTGCCACTTAGATTATTTTGACTACATTACACAATGCATTGATAATGGGCATTCGGTAACAACATTATTTCTCGACGTTAGCAAGGCCTTCGATAAAGTCCCACATATCAGACTCCTAACAAAACTCCAATCCTACGGAATAACCGGGAAACTTCTCAAATGGATAAATTCTTTTCTCACAGAAAGAGAGCAATTAGTCAAAATCAACCACCAGCTGTCTTCATCAAAGCCGATAACTAGTGGTGTAATACAGGGTAGCGTTCTTGGCCCTATTCTATTCCTCTTATTTATAAATGACATAGTCTCTGTGATCAAGTATGGCAAGCCATACCTCTTTGCAGATGATCTCAAGATAGTATATGATTATGGGTACGATGATAAGAGCATCGAAAGCAAAATCCAACATGACTTAAACAATCTAGGCGATTGGAGCGAAAAGTGGCAACTGACTTTCAACCCAAACAAGTGCGGTATAGCCCACCTGGGACGCTGGAAACCGAGAATGTGCCTATATATGTACGGTAAGCTCCTCTCGAAACTGAACACTGTCACAGATCTCGGGATAACATACTCAGATCTAACCTTTTCCGATCATGCAAATAAGGTCGTATCCGACTGTAAACGACTTATTGGCTTTGTGCTGCGTAACTTCTACACCCAAGAAGCAAGATTAGCTATATATAGAACGTGTATCCGCCCCAAACTTGAATATTGTGCACTCCTGTATAGTAACCTAAGGTCTGTAGACCGAAAAAATCGAAAGTGTTCAGAGATTCCTAACGAAACGCATAATAGGGTTTGACCAACCGGTGGAATATGTTGACAGGTGTATGCGTCTGAATTTAGAACCCCTATGGTTAAGGAGAGTGAAGTGCAACTTATTTCTACTATTCAAAGTCATAAGAAAACACTGTTATAGTAACTCATCCATAACGTGGGAAAATATTAAATCATATCAGCTGCGAAACCATAACTACCTTGTCAAGGTGGCTACCCACAGAAAATCCATTAGGGCAAACTTTTTCACCATTAAATATTGCACTCTTTGGAACCAACTACCATCTGAAATTAGATGTTGTGAAAACCCCAATGGGTTCAAACGGAGCCTAGAGAGACACATTAACATGTCCACCCCAGCTTGTCTAAAGGACCACAAATGTTGGTAAAATGGTAAGTTAAAGCCGGTCCAGTCTTCAGCTCAGTCAGTTACATATAACTCGACTCTACTACTTACGCAGCGAACGTTTAACTAATTTACTGATTTTCCTTTCTGTATAGTCCTCAGTAAGTTATGTTAATATAAGTACTTCTAGGAAGTTATATTAGCAACCACATCTTTTAATATTTTAGATATGTATATGCAGTTAATAATACAATGCTATTTTTGTGGCTGAATGACTTTACTCAGCCAATAACCACCTTTTCTCATACACCTTCCTAAAACGCGTAATCTTTATAATATTTCGCAGTATTTTTAACATTATATAAGTTGAAGGGTTACTTTGCAATATCTAATGCGCACGGTATGAAAATCGGTCATGAAAATTTAGCATAACAAGTTCTGCTAACCAGTTGCCTTACTCAGGACCACTTCACATAACTTGATCACTAATTGTTCCACTACCCATATCACTCTGCTAAATAGAATATAACTTATTTGCTCTAATATTAGCTATTTTTATACTTCATAACTCTTAAGGGAAACCTAATTTCTTAGTCTTTTGTAGTAACCCACTTGTTCACAATTATGATGATAATACTGCTAACAATGTCCTCTGGTATTATTGTGCCATGTGACCTAATGGGAAGCACTTGTCATGAAAGCTGTTACGAATTATAATATTGATAACGCTCTTATCATATATACTTTGATTTACTTTACGGCTCCCTGTAAGACTAACTACCCTTCTTCAGGATACACACACTGCGGTATTGTTAACCAAATGTTAAAATTCTGTTGGTTCTGTGTTAATATCGTTTTATAATATGTGTAGACTGGTTACTCTGCAATGTCAAATGTTTACTATATAAAAGACTATCATGACAATTTAGTACAACAAGTCCTGCCAACCGACCTTACCTTCAGTTCATACTACCTACATTGAACTCTAACTATAGTGTTCTGCTGAATCTTGCTCCACTATTCACAAAAACTATTCTTTTTACTCTTTAAGGGTTTAACATCTTATAAACTAATCTGTTCATTAGGACGCATGCACACATATATAATATGTTCATAAATCTGTATGTGGAGATCTATTGGAAGCACTCACTAAGAAAGCTAGGCAAATGGAATGTGAGGTACGAACGTGTCTGGAATCAAGCAATATATTTGCTGTAGCCATAACAATCAGAGCCTAGCATCATAAAAGGAGGGAGGGTGGCGCATGCTGATCAGCAGATATGGTGGTGGTCACTAAGGTGAATCGCCCTTTTCTGCAGGAACAGCAATATGCAATTTGACGGCTCGAGATTTCTATGAGGGCTTGAATCTTTATCTTGAAAAAGATAATAATGATCGCCTGGACAGATCATAATTATACCTTTAAACATATACCATTCGGTCAGCCTATTGCTGAGATGCGACCACGTGCGCTCTGCACAGATTTATGGGGCATCTTATAAATTGACATGCTTTCCTTTGTCGTATCTTCGAATATCACTTAACAATGTCTCATCTCATACATTTTCTAATAACGTCTTCACTTGCTCATTATATTCTACTAAACCTAACATTTTATAGCTCTTTATGAATTTGATTCGACTTATTTTATTCCTATTCTCTATAGGGTACGGTTGTGCACCAAACACAAAAAGGTATGAAATTAAAACAACCGGCTTGTGGATAATTGTATTAAACCAAAAAGTGGACAACATGATAGTAAAACCTATAGGGTAGCATTATACATTGCAAAGGAACTTTGTCAGCCTAGGGATTGTAGTCTCTCATTTTATTTCCTTTATGAATGCATATATTAATGATACATTGCATTTACCTATTTCATTACACTTTATTGATTCACCTTTGCACCTTTACTTTTCTAAAACAGCTCACTATCCCTTGTAAACGTTGTACTTACCTCAATATTAGTTGGTTATCGTATGTCTACAACCACGGGTTGAAAACGAAACGAAGTCGATTTTCCTGCCCAACCTGGAGGACTACTGTTTAATTCAATAATGATACGACATAGGTCAGACAATCATTGTATTTATATATATCAAATATTTAGCTGTTGAAACATTACTAACTTGTAGACAATCTACTATTTGACATTGTATCATACTTGATCGCGCCTGTAAAAATGACATGCATTTTCATGTAAATTTATGTTTATATGAAAATATAAAATTATTATTATTATGAAAAGGAAAGCAAAGATAGATGAGGCAATCAAATAATTTTACCGGCGTAGACGGCTGTAAGGAATGAAAACGTAGTAGAGGAATCTGGATTTGTCCGGAGTGGCAAATGAATGCCGTCCGTGCGTCGTCCCTTAAATTTTCCAATGAGTTTAGAGATCTAATTTCTGAGGGTAATAGTAGTTTCCATCTTTGTTTAATACCATCTGGGTTTCGGAGATTTTCATAAAACGTATTGCTTTGAAAGCATACCTTGAGAGACAAGGTGATATGAGATATTATAATGAAGTTTTACTTACTAAAGTTCGAATCCAAGCTCTAAGGATGAGGAAAAGTTTATATAACATAGAATATTGAAAAGCGATGATGAGAAAAGCTTAAAATGGTGTTAGAATAAAAATACACTTATGGAGTACCAAACGTGAATAACGAATTATAATCCGATAATGCTGAATCTGGGAATGATCGATATTATTATACGTGAGCATTGTTTGTTTGAACATGTAGCTGTTTATGAGACGCGAGTGTAACAATTGAACTCTGATTGGGGGGATTTTCAATTGCATCATGTCTGGTTTTTAGAAGGATTTCGGCGAAATAAAGCATGTTTTGTGCTACTTGTCGGCCACACATTGATTTCCTCTTAACCGACTTTATGTCTGCAAACCGAACGAAGGCTGGTAACACTGTCTATTAGTCGAAGTTCATAGTTCAAATCCTGCATCGCTTGTCTGGTGGCCCTGATCAATGGGCGATTCTGAAGGCAAAATATCTAACCATATATCAAAACCAGACGTAAATAATGGTGTACACGGTTCGCATTCTGTTACTGGTAAGTTTTGATCTGTCTCTAAACATCTATTGTAGCAGGGAAGTGTTCGTCGAAGGAGTCGAGTTCGGGTTTTATGCTATTAAGTGTAAAACACTTGTCGAAAGTCAAGCGGAGTAAACACTTATCTACAGCTGGCATGGGAAATGACCCGCTAGTCAGTAATCACGCAGAAATGCGCTCAACACTGCCCCTACCAAGCCTCCCTCAAACAGACGGTTGTTTGGTGCCGCAGAGTTCTATGTGTGAGGACAATCTGCATGATACTTATGGTTCAGGCTCTATAGAAGCTGAGGAGTTTGAAGACTTTGATGATCAGGAGGATGATGCTGATCTAACTGGGGACGGAAATCCTATCAGGAATATAAATGTGGTTGGTCATAACTCTTTTAGTCATTTCGGTACGACTCTCCCAAATGAACCATCGATTGCTGCCAACTTTTGCCAGGTTAGTCCACTTTCACCAAGAGTTTTTCAACATTTCGATTCGGAGTCTCACTAAGTCCCTATAAATTTGCTCACTTTTAAGACAAAACGAACTGCTTTCCATAGTAATTCCTGGGTGTCTCCAGGTTGGTTATATTATACGCAATTTAGCGTTCTGATGCTATGTACCTTGTTGTTTGTGATAAGTACGTCCGAACATTTGCAGTAGTTAAACCACTAGCGTGGAATAACCATGTATTGCTACCTAATTGGAAAAGTACTAAGGTAAGGCAGCAGTATTGCATGAATATTTTGTAGGCATAGGAATAAGCCAGAGAGCTTCAGGCCAAAATCGTACATGCTTCAGTTCTTGAGGCCATTACGTTTTGTAAATGGAAACTATGAGTCAATTATTAGTTTGCGACGTTTCCGAGCCGTACTCTTAATTTGTGAAGCAGGCTCTCGTTGCTCATCTCTCTAACAGTAAGGTGTTTATTCCTGATCTATCGACAGTCAGGTTTTATTTCGTTGTCATGGAGTAAATTATTTTCGTTAGCAGTCCTTTTGACTTAAGGAATGCAGGTGTTCGTCTAGTCGGTTATGCCATTTTGTTCCGCTATGAAAATAAGTGGAGGTTTATGAATAATCCAGCTTCTCATTCAGAATATTTTCACGTTCTCTAGTACACCTCTGTTGCTTTACTCATATATACTCTTCATTTGGTTGTAGCTCCATTTCCCTACTGTGACTCAGTCGTTCACAAATCCGCTAAATGGTCACTTTCAGTCGCCTGTATTTCCGGGTAAAAAGTTCACATCTACCTGTAATGATGCCTACCAGCCAAAACATTCAGACCATCTTTCGTCCCCTGTTCTAATGCCTTCTCTTAATCAATCCGGAAAATTGGATTATCTACAGCCTTTCCAAAACAAATGCATTTACCCACCATACCCTCAAAATCCATGCTATCCAGGTTTTTTTAATTCTGACAACTCAGATGCCATTCCTTCAACAGGATCACCGCTTGAGCATGACAATCGTTGTATAGCACCAGAACAAAAACATCTGAATATTAATCATTTACTTGGTCGGCGGATAACTTCTGACTCTCACGATTGTACAGATATCTCTGATTTATCTCCATCCAAGTTGGTATGTACTATGGCCAGTCATAATTACCCTGATCCACCTAATACTTCTTCAGATTGGATGAAACTATCAGGTGTATTGCATCCTACATATCATGCTGGTTTATCTCCTCGTTCGAGACACGGGAGTTTTACTCAGCCTGCAATAACATGCCTACACCATTTACATCCATCAACAACGTCGGACAATGCAGCATCAACTGCTTCTACAAACAACCACTTGACATCAGACGCTGTTGCTAAAGCAACGGCATCACTTCCACCACTGCAACCAGCTTCAAGATTTCGCAAGGCTCGTATACATGAAACCGTTGAACAGTGGTCTTGTGGTCGATTTTCGGTACATGATTGTCACCTGAAGGCCGTTCCGGATTGGGTTAATGAGCTTCACAAAAAGTCTCTTGCTTGCGAAGACGCTATTTCAAACCTGCCGAATAGAAAAACAAAGTGTTTGTCCTGTTTCATACCTAAAACTGTTGGTGAGTTATGTTGGTTTGCTTCGTTTGCTTTTTGTTTTTTACTAGACAATGCTATATATATATATATATATATATCACAGTGGTGGATTATTTCAAGGTTTTGGTCACTTGGGATGCGTTATTTTATTTATTAAAATATTAAGTATTATATGTTAAGTGACAGAGTCACTGTAGAGCTTTTCCCTGAAGATCTTGTGTTAATGACTCGTATTTTGGTAACTAATACACAGGTAATTTACAGCTTTCGAATTTTGTTTGTTCAAGTGGGAATCTGCTTTGCTCACTGGTACTAGTCAGTGAACAAACACGTGGAGGATTATATACATGAAGTCTTTTGAAGTTTTGTTTTGAAGAGTAGGTGAAAAAGAAAAATGTTTGGGTAAGAGATGTGAAACATACGAGGTCAAAACACTTACAAAATTGTGATGTAATAAGCTAGTAAAGTGTTGGTGCACTTGAACTTATTTGGATCCTTTTGCCTAAAATGGCCAAGTAAGCAAGTTAAAATTCCACACAGTTTGTAACAATATCGATTAGTGCTATCCTTTAGTCTGATCACTCAGTGACATTTTTCAGCATGGTTCTGCTTCAGTCAGTAATGCTCTTTAGGGGAGGCGATGACTGTATGCAGATCATTCCCAAGTAAACATTGCACTTGGGAGTGTTTAGTAAGCATTTGAAGTGATTCAATCTTCCGAAAATGGTAGTGTAAAATCCAGTCAGTGACACCCACTACCTACTTATGTTATGTCGTTTTTATTTAGATGGTGCGAAAGCGTCGATTCAGTATGAGAACCTTAAGACTATACTTAACTGCTGAGTGGAGTTCAAATAAACGGTAGCCCTAGTGGAGTGAAATTCCGTTTAATTCATTCAGAATAGTTATTTCAACCTCCTAATTTCAACTTTGCAGTGACTGGTACAAACGTTTTCCCCTTACATTTCGAACAAGCAGCTGAGGCAAACAGCCTATAGTTTGCAAATATATATACATGTCATTAAAACGGTTTTTTTCATGGTACGCTGTCTGAACACTTGTTTTCTCAAATATTAATTTTTTCTTGAAAATAGTTCCGTGCTGTCAAGACATTAAAGTGTAAAGGTATTTTACAACCTCGTCATTCAGCGGATAAAATAAGATAAATATCCGCCATGTCTGATGATTTTTCTGGAGACACTACTTATTGAGAAATATCGGATATCACCACTTCCAGTTAATGTTCTGTAACAGTAAAACAGATTCAGCAGATTCCGAACAACTTTTTGCTTAACTTATTCCCATAATCTTTTTTGTAACCTTTTTTAATTCTAGATTTGTGTTTATTACTCCACAGAACTAACCAACTGGAGGTCTTTGCTTTCTATTAATTATAGGGGATACAAGCACAACAATGTTTCCACGATCCACACAAGGTTTTGCACACCTCGGAGTTTCTGTTGACCACCACTCAGACCATACCCACCAAAAGTTAGGTATCCTTGATAACGCGTTGGAAGCCCGGTCAATAATTTTGAGTCATGGCTCCCAAGGAAATAATTTGTTTTCCTTTTGGAATGATGGGCTTCGTGTCCGCAGTCAAATTCCTTCGTTTGCTCGTGTCCACGTGCGTAATTCGGAACCAATTTACGATGCATGTGATAATTGTGATTGTCCTATTCTAAACTCCGTTCATTCTGAATGTAAGATTAAGAAAACTTATACGGAAAACAGTCATAACGGGCATCACGGTGCGATCAACTTGTCGTCGAGAGAAAACGGTATTGAGGAAGACAGTACTGAACTTACAGACGGTTCACCGATTCTTCTAGGTTCTTCAGACCCGGCCACTGCATATTTGCGCCGAAAGCACATGGGGACAACAAGTTATGCGGAAAGCTTATCGGTTGCTACAGATTCAAAACAACGTGACGATTCTACAACTGCAGCCTCACCTCAACAACCTTTAAAAAATATCTCTCCTCTCCGGTCAGATTTCATTTACATGGACTCAAAAGAGGTACTGAATCATTCTGACGGACCGGGTTATGCTCCTAACCAAGAAATGTGTCTTCATGAAGTTTCAAGTGCACCTTCAAGTAATGTCCCTCCAGCTAGTCCTAGTGCAGCTGTCATTGTCACCAACACTGATCGAATCCCTCTAGGACTGGAAATACCTTCAGAAATCTCCATGTCTAAGCTGCGTTTGCTAGATTTGGTACCTACTGATGAAAACAATTTGGGACCTGATTATGCGAACGTCAATCTTTTGGGTTCGAATGTGCAACGTCTGATAAATGAAGGTACCAGTACGGCAAACAAAGACAAGCTTGAAGATAATTCCAGGACAAACCACGTTTCCCCGGGAGATTTTCACCTACATACTTCACCGAGGAAAATTGATTTTCGCTTGCGATCAAGTGGTCGTCGTTCTAAAAGCTTTGACGATAGTTTCTGCGTCAACAGTCTGGATCGCATTAAAAGTAATAAGTTATACAACTCCGACATTGTTAGAAGGTTAGTGATTTTCATCTTTTAATATACAATTTGATCATCTTAAAGCAATTGGATCTGTGTGGTATGAAGTAAACTATCGATTTTTGAGTTCTTACTCCCTTTGAATAATCGACCATTATTTTTAAGCCACATACAACAAGTCTGGTTCATTGCTTTGAGTTGTCAAATTTCACCACATAGGTCTCTTTTAAACTATGCGTTGTTAGGTATCAGGTGGCGTTATTGTCCTTCACCAGGTTTGGTTTATTTCCTTATCCATGGATATGCATAGGTAATGTTCAATTTCATTCATTTTGACTGCCTAGAACACATTATTATTATTGTTCTAGTTCGCTGGTTTATGCATTCATTTCAGATGTTGGTTATATCATGTGAGTATGAAGTCATTTGAAGAACTATGATAAAAGTATGCATGCTACCTAGGTTATTGTGTAGTTTATAGTTGGTTAGTCAAAAAATAGTCGAAGGCAAGAATTGCGATAGCGTTGAATTCAAATAGGCTACCAAATGACTACATAAAGATCTATCACAAACCATTTACAATATACTCTTCACATACTGCTTTGGTTTTATACTCACGCTTTTTTTATTCAACGTGATCATTTTTGATTCACATCCAATCTATAAATATCTTTTCAGTTCAGCTTTTCCCGTATTTAGGTGTTCCGACCTAGTTTTATGTATTTCATTAGTGTACTTTTCGGACATGTAGACATAATTACAATGATGAATGCGGTGTGTAACTGTAGTTCCGTTTATCGACAAAATCATGATCTGTCATTGAGTTGATGCATTTGGTTTCACTCCAGTAATATGTAGTATTGGTCTCATACAGCAAGCTGCATTCCCAGAAACAGAGGTACATACCTTGTTTTTAATGTTTTATAACGACTGTACTTGCCAATGTTCACATTTAGCTTCTCGAGACATTATTTTGCGTCTGGTTAAGTTTTCCGTTTACTTAATTGTTAAAATGTGATTTTATTGTTATCATTACTCTTAGGTCACGCGCACCTCTAACTGTGGAAGATGTTATCAGTACTGCATCACCCAAGGGCTTCAAATTCCCCAGTGACTTTACCAGCGAAGTTGAATGTAACCGGAATTCCAGAACATCATCCCTTTTATCTGATCGTCTTGAAGCCCGTATACGCGCCAGCATGGTGAGGCCTATTTTTGATACATTGGATTTTTTCAGCACTTGATCTTGATGTGTCATTCAATATGCATGTTAGACCGACTTTAGAACTACTAAACATATTCTGCAGACCATTATCTTCATGCGTCTGAAGAGTACACTGAGCATTTAAACGTGTAGCTAAATTCTCTTAGCCTTAAAATTGACGCCTTATTGTGCCAACCATACTTTGTTTTCTGTTATAGTGATTATTTTAAGAATTAGTGAGTGCATATTTCTGTGATTTGTAACTACGCGGATTTAAGGAATCATAGTAAAATCTTAAAAAGTCATATGAATGTAACCTTAGATGTTCCTCACTTTGCTACAGCATAGAAAGAGGAGGTGAATAAAATGAAAGGATAAACATTAGTATTAGTGGTAATTGAGCTGTCACTGAGTTAGTCAGATTTATCAACAGCTACCTTTGTTCTGCATTGAAGATCAAATGGCCAAAAAGTATTAGCAACAAGAAACTATGGAAACAAACTAACCGAGGACCTACAACTCAACAGATATGTAGGAGAAAATGGAGATGGAACGAGCACACATTGAGAAGACCGTTGATTGACATCACACGCCAAACCATCGCTCGAGTGGAGTCCGGATGGGAAACGACGAGTGCATTGTCCCAGGGCGACAACGAGGAGATAGAGCGAGGAGGAGATGAGAGATTATAGTCAATTGTGGACCCAACTGAAGAGGACCACAGAAAATAGAACAAAATGGAGATATGTTGTCGAAGCCATATGTTCCATTCGGAACCCAAGGGAACAGTAAGACGGTTATTTAGACAAGTGAGCGTAAAACCGTTCACAGAATAGCATCATTTCAAGTTACTGCTACCTAAAAGATTCACAACCGCATGAGGCAGGGACACAAGTAGTTGTTGAGTAACGTTTCACCTTTTCATTTGTGCACTAAAGGAAAGTATAATTCCATAATATGATGATTTTAGTTTGATATAAAACGGATACAGTATTATTTATGCACTGTCCCGAAGACTATGAGGAGTGAGCACATCTACCCCATGAGTGATTTTCAGTTTTCTTCACTGAAAACTTACAACTGTTGATTTTTAGTATCTCAAGGAGAACAGTAGAAATCTTCTTATATGGCTAGAAACAGTAGTCATGAATTTCTGGGATTTGCGTCATTTTTTGACCCCTATTAACTCATCTCCAACTTGTTAATAAAGGAAGGCTGTTTCCTTGACATTCGTTACATGTTTTAGCCACTGTAGATAGTAAAGACGTATTACCATATCAGTTAACTTATATTTTATTTGGCATTATATCTCTGATCTCATAACAAATTATGTTCTACTGTAGTCGAGCACATATTTCTGTCCCTTTTCACGTCTTTACTTTTGATGACTAAGGAGAAATCCGCTTATTGTCGTCCTAAGACCCTGTAGTACTGGCCGAGTATGCAAGTTTTTCGTTTAGTTATCAGTCGGTTAAAAGCTAAACCATAATGAAATAACTATGAGTGTAGGTTTATGTCGTAAGTGCTCATTCTAGTGTTTCTTTGAATTCTGTTCGACATCTTGCAGAATACTAGGCTGCGTTTAATATACAACCTATACAATAAAAACGCTCTTGGATACTTTATTGCTCTCTGGCTTTTCCGCTTCAGAAATGTGTGGTAATTTTCTCAAGGGTTGATATTATTTTGGTACCCAAAAACTATGTAGACTGTTTTTAGGAAATTACTCAGTGTTACTTGTTAGATTTCATACAGTAATCAATGAAATGTTTGTGGTTGTTTATCAATAACTGTAATTAAGTAAAGTTTTTACGTTATCTTTTCATTCAACATCCCAAAACCCTTGTATGTTACTGCTCTGAATTGCAGGAATTTTAACGTCTATATGCAACATTCCTTAATATTATTCACTCTGAATACTATGTTTTACTTTTATGGGGAGAGCGTTCTAGCATGAGTTGTGAATCTCTTGTCGTTTAAGATCATTTGAAAATAAGGGAATTCTTGTTTTCTACAAGGCAATACTGGAGCATCCGATAAATATTGTGTAAAAGACCAGCTTTCCCAATAAGGCCAACTCTTTTTTATAATTAGCCTCTTGAATTTTTGTTTATAAACGGATGTGGTATGGCAAATAAAGATTTATTTTATTTCTCACTTTTTCAGGAAGCCATTAGGTCTACGTTGGTAAATAGTTTTCGTGATGAATTGGCAACTGTACTTGCAGAAAATGTTAATCTGCGTTCAGAAATAACTCGATTGAATTCCGAATTGACACTTCTTCGAAGCTATCAGCATGCCTTTTTCGCTATTCGACCTTTCGTCCCACCTAGTTTGTGGGAAAATATTTGTGTTCAGCAAGGTTTACCTGTTTCACCCCTCATGAATGGTGCTGATTGTCAGCCATCTTGTGATCCACAAAATTCTCGGTAAAACGCTAACAAACAGGTTATGTCATTGTTTTGCGTTACTACCGGTTAATCAGTCGGTGAGATTTTTCAAACACTCATCGATCAACGTGTGCAATAGTTCCTCCTGAGACTTCGTTCTCAAAATTCTTATCTCGTCAGTACTGGCAACATGTAGTAATTCACCTACTTTGTCTTTTCCCCCTTTGCAAGATTCTTCACACTTTTACCGTTCTTATTTTCACGGCTTGTTTATTTTCGTTTCCTGTCGTTTCACTGAACATGAGAGATTTGTGTATGTATTTGATTGTTTAACAAAATAACTACTAATAGCCCTGTAACCTTGGGTTCCTCTTGCTGTATGTATGTTCACCAGGCTCTTTCATTCCCACCATACAGTCGGTTGGTGTCATCTCTTAAGTTCAGGCTGTTTGGATGAGAATTATTCACTCACCAAAGGTTTTCTTAGGCCTATTAACGATGTATGTTTGAACTGTGATTACAGGAAGCTTTTTGTGATGTTTCCATGTCTGTACAGAAAATTAGCTTGTATAAATTTATGTAAAGTATCTTTTTTTTCTCATTGTAACATCTAGTTGTATTTCTTCTTGTTCACTCACTTACTAGAAAATGTTAGAATAATATGCAATCTTTATTCATAATATAATTTCTTTGACAAAACCAAATACACAAGGTTTCTTATTCCACACTTATTGGCATTGTCTTCTGTTAACAAACTTTTATATGAACCTTTTTGTTTGTCTCTCTTTGTTATTTTTCATTCCTGGTGATGTCAATTTTTCAATCATTTTGATTAGATATATATATTTTCATCTCAATTCGTTTGTGAATTGCGTTGGTACATCGGTCTCTATGAAATATTACATACATTCCTCAAATGATTGGACTCATAACTTAACTCTCTAAAATTTGGTTGTTATCTGTCTAAACAGTTATGCATTTATGCCTATAAAAGGATGTTATCACTGTTGAATTTTTCAAACCGTTTGCTGGTATTTCACTTTTATTGTTAAAAAAAGAAAGAGTGGTCAGTTCTCTTGCTTTAGCTTCATGTTTTATGTTATTTTTGGTATCAGTCAAACTTTATGTATTCTACCATTTGTAGGTCATCTTCTGTAGAAATTGATTATTGATTGATATCATGCACTAGTCCTTTCCTTTTTTTTATCACTAAAATTCGTTGTAAATAACTTTTGCATTGTCTGTGATTACACTGTACATGCGCACAAAATTGTAAACTGTAGTGTCAACATGGTAAACCTTCAGTTCACCTTCAGCCTTTGTAAGCCTTTTTCTTTAGCAGCATATTTATGTTTAGTCAACGTTTTCAACTCGTTGACTCCAAAAAATATCTATTTCTACCGGTTGTGCTACCGACACATGATTCACATATGTCTGTTAACAGTAGCCAACCCGTTTTGAACTCCTGAACAGAAAACAAGTTCCTACAAATGGACGCAGGCAGGTTGCAGTATTATGAAGATTTAGCATAATTCGGTACTGAACTCTTCCGCATCAAACTGCAAGTTAAGTTCAGTACTAACTATGTACGTCAAAGAATTAAACCTGCATAAGCTATGTAAGCTTAGAATTGAGTTATGGATGAAGACATTACTGTACCTGTGTTAACTGAATTTATGATTTTCATAGCTGCAGAATAGTTAATTTGACAAATGCACTGATACCTGTTCAGGTTAACTGTCAGCAAGTAGATGAAAGTAACCAGTCGCAAATATGTAAGATTATGACTAGGAAGGACTGCGATTGACTTTCTCCAGAAAGTAATACAATCAAGTAACAATGTATTCATTTCATTACTGGGCCAGTATAATCTCTTATTGGCTTGGTATCTACGTAATGCCACAACCCATCCGATGTCAGTGTGATGATACCACTTATGGTGTTAGACTAGCTGGTAATTACCAACTGACAGTTGCGCCAAAAATGTAGAACAAATACGAGACGGTATATAGATGAATAAAGCACAAATGAAAAGGATGCTTTTATAAGATACGTAGTGAATAAGCTTAGTGGTAATTTCAGTCCACTGGGGACATGTGATGTGAGTTAAATCATCTCTAGATTATATTCGCCTGTTGGAATTTTGTCTCTGGTACCCTTGATTTAGATTTAACATGTGGTTCGATTAAGAGAACAATTCTAAGCCTAAAATATAATCGTGTTACAAGATTTTATGTTTCTCTTGTAAGGACTAGGGAAGTACAGTTTGATTAATTTGCGGAGATTTAGTGAGTAGTCTAGTGTATCACAGTTCTCATGCACTACTCTGGATTCTACGATTTTTTTTCTGACTAAACCAATTTAATGGTTACCCTTCAAATCCATATTCGGAAAGTGTGTATCCTCCTGTTGATGCCTTCTGATCACACTTTCCTCATTGCTTGTCGTTTAAAATAGTTTCCCTTCATATCTGTAAATAAGTGGTAATCGCTCACAGTGCACTGCACTGTCGAATAAATTTATCTAACGCGGAATTATACTGTGCTGGGATTCTTCTTTCACATTTAGTGATATCATGTACTGTGCGAACGGGCTGCACTGCTGTAAA